ACACAACAGCAACAACAAAAAAAAGAAGCTGAATTTGAAAGACTCCTATAAATATGATAAAAATTCAAAACTAATAAATAGTTGATGCAAAGCAAATCTCAGGAGGTGTATTTGTAATTTACCCTAATTTAAATTATCAAAATTTTCGTAATGAACCTACTAGAGATGAAACAATATGATCAGAAGCAGAGGGAAGGAGGGCCCGAGGGAGTCACGTGCCCCCTGAGTTTTGGAATTTTTTTTTACAAACATAAAGAAAATATTTTATATAAAAAAAATTTATAAAAATATTATTTAGAGTGAAATGTCAATAATATTTTTAAAATTATAAAAATAATAATGATTGTTTTGATTGAAAATAAAGAGACTACGATATTATTATCTATGAAAATTTCAATATAATGGTGATCTCTATCACAATATATTAACATACACAAAAAAAAAAAAAAAAAAAAAAAATTTTTTATCAAATTTAAATTTGATGATCCATTTGATAAACCATTAGAGATGGTCTAAATGAGGAGACTTTTCCATGATTTTTATGTAAAACTAGTGATTATCACTTTGCTTGGTTCCATTTTTCCAAAAACACTTTTCAGAAAATTCTACTTTCTTGTTTTCTGTATTTTTTTGTTTTTACTGAATTTTTTAATTTTTAAAATTATTTTAAGTATTTTTTTTAAACTTTTTAGACATACTTAACATAAATATACCTAAAAAGTAAAAAATTTGTGAAAAAAAACTTTTAAAAATTTACTAAATACCCAAAATACAAAAAAAAAATACGAGAATTCAGTACATTTTTTGTGTTTTTATGTATTCATTAATTTTTTAAAATATTTTTTCACAAATATTTTATTTTTTTTAGATACATCATGCATCTAAAAAAGTTTTTAAAAAATGCTTAAAATTTTAAAAATATTCACTAAAAACAAATAAAATAAAATAAAATAAAAAATAAAAAATAAAAAACTTAATTGAAAAAATTAAAACCAAACACACTGATTATTATTATTATTATCTTTCTCGAAGTCAATTGTAAAAATTTATGTGAAATATTTTTGTAAATATTTTTAATATTATAATTAAGAAGTGCCCCCTCTGATTTATTTTCTTGGCTCTGCCACTGGATATTATGAGTTATTTAAAATTGATGGAGGATTATTTTTTAAATGCATGAGTTGTGTATATAATACAATTAATTATACCAGTTAAACTTATTTATGAGGAAAAAAAAAATCAAATTCAAAGTTGATTACATATTACATTTGATTAACTATGTTACAAGAAAGATTAAAAGAATTAGCAATTTTTTTTATTGAAAATGATTCAATTGATAAGTTATGCAAATTTGATTAACAATTTTGTAATTAAAAAAATGTGAAAATGGTGATGTTCAAGTAACGTTTTGTTACAGTTTAATCGCTTTTTATTTAGTACTTGAGCTTAGATTATTTTGATAATTTTTTAAGGAAAATTCTATTATATATTTTTGAAGTGTATACTATGTAATTTGGTAATAAATAGTACATAATTTTTTAGTAAAGTTACAACATTTGTGATTCAGAAATTAAGTTACACATTTTTTTATTCAAATATTTTTTAACTAAAAAATGTGTAACATTACCCGGGTCGGCTCTGAGGTTCAAATTTGAACAAAATTTAGGGACCCCAAATAAGGATAGGTAATATCGTTATTTTAAATTTATGTCAAAATTATCTCAGTACAATACAATTCATTTATTTTTTTTTTATGTTAGTGTAACATATCAATTTTTATTCTTGTTCAGTTAATATTTCATATCAAAATTTTTACTTTTAATTAAAAATACCGAGTGTATTGTGAATTTAAAAAAAAATCACAAATTAAATTTTATAAAATTAATCTCTATTAAATAAAATCCAATAATGCTTAGTGAGTAATTTTACATTTAAAAATATGATAAGAGTACTATTTAATTAATATTTTTCTGTACATGGTTTAGTTTTTATTTTGTATTATAAATTTATATTTTATTTAATGTTTTTTTAAATCTTTTGTTGTAATCCAGATTTGTTAAATCAAAAAGCAATAAGATTATATTTTTATGTTTTTAGTTCTTATAATGATTCTTTATATCTGGATCTACGTAACTAAATTCAGTATATAGTTTTAGTAGTTATATACAAACAGAATTTATGTGGAGATTAGCAAAAAATAAATAAATAAAATAAAATCGTAAGTGCTTATTATTTTATGTAAATATTTTTTAAAAAATTATGCCTAATTTCAAAAACTCGCATTGAGCTCCAAATATCTGAGGGCCGACCTTGAACATTACCATAAAATACGTGATTTTATTTTAAAATCATATATTATCGTAATTATATCCCAAAAAATGTAATATTTATCAAAAAGTATATAACATATATCACAAAAATATGTAACAAAAGTACATATAATACACACCTTTTGAGGGGTGTATATCATAGTATTACCTTTTTATATTATTATTATGAATTTTGTTATATATTTAAGTAAATTTTAATAGTTATATATGTAAGTAACCATTTTGTAAGCATTGTCAAATAATGAAAAATGAATATATAATCTTTTGATCATAATTATTATTTTTTAAATGTAAAAAAACCCTATATTGAGGTCAAGTTTGGCAACTCTAAAATAATCCATCTTTTTATCTTTTTATCTTTTTTCCATCACATCACCTCTTTATTTTTTTACACATCTTTTTGTAAAAAGATAAAAAATACACTTACTTAAATTATTCCAAACAACCCTGAGTATGTTTTGGACTCTAAAAATATCAAGATCGGCTCTGGGGAAGTTGAATTAACACCCTTTTTCTTGCAAATAGTTACGTCTGGCCTCCTATTCCCCTTCTACTCCTACGAATGGAATCTAAGATCTCTCCTTAAAAGAGGCTTGATAGCTAAAAGACTATTTACCCATGTTACAACCCTTAGTTTTCTATTGATTCCTATTTATTTTTATTTTTTTTTAAATTATAAAAAAATTCTATGGTTTAACACTTATAACAAAATAAATCCTGAATTTTTAATTTTATCAATTTAAACCCTAATATTTTGATTTGTTTTCAATTTAAACTATTTGTCTATTTTCGTTAAATAAAATTGATGAGAAAATATATTGTAGTCATTAAACTTAACCAAAAAAAAAAATATTTGAGACATTTTATGTACACATACATTTAGTTCAATAGTAAAAATATTATTTTTCTGTTAATTTTACTTGATGAAAATAAATAGTTTAGATTGAAAACAAATCAAAATATTAAGGTTTAAATTGATAAAATAAAAAAATTAAAATTTATTTTGTTATAAGAGTCCAACCTTTTTCTTTTTCTTTTTTAATTTTTCCGTTTTTTATATATTAGATTTTTGCTTTTTGATAGAAATATTGAGGGAACTTAATTATTATGAAAATATTGTATGTCATTTATTTTATAAAATTTTAATATCAAGGATCTTAAAAAAAATAAGAAAATATTATTTTGCTTTCCAAACTTTCAGGCGCTTTTCAATTTGATCTATAAACTTTGATTAATATCAATTTTACACCAAAATTTTTAAAATTTTGATTAATTTGGCTTCCGTTGTCACATTTTATCTACAATTGGACAGAATGTGTTGATGTGACATCAAAATTTATTTAGAATTTCATTTTATCTTCTAAACTATACCTTAAAAATCAATTTACTTCCCAAATAACTTAAAAAAAAAACTAAATTTAAATATTTAATAAATAATTTTTTATCTTGATAATAAAAAGATTAAATTTTAAATAATATATACTTTGTAATAAAATAATAAAAAATATAAAAATCCTCATTTAGAATTATCTTGATATTATGAAGTATGAATAATTCAACAAATATTATCCGTACCGAGTACTTACTGACATTGGATATTTCTGCATACTGGGTATTCAAATTTTTTCTTCTTAATTTTTGGCATATCCAGACATATTTAGTATATACCCAAACTATGACATACCTTAGTCGAAATAATATTTTCTTCTATTACAAAGATAAAATTCTTTTTACTAGACTTCTTTTTCGTGTTTAGTTTTGAACTTATCGTGATTTTAAAATTAAGCAATGGTAGTAAGTTATTTAATATAATGATATTTAATTTTGGTTTATCTTATACCAGTACTTTTGGCATTAAATGTCCATTGTATGTTAGATTTAACAAATTAAACCATTTAATCAATTTTTATATTATTCAAAATTAAAAACAAATATTTCTTTTACAAATGTATTAAGCCGTGCTTGTATTGTGTAAATATCAGTACTCATATCTGTACTTGTGTTTCATAAGTCTCAAATTATCTCGAGTCGATCATGGAGAAACTTATTGAGCCAAAAATTTCTTGACTACTCTATGTGTGTACGCGCGCGTAATTGTAACTAGTTTGTTATCCAAATTAATTTCAATAAAATTGATCGACTAATAGTAATTTTAAAATTGAGTGGAAAAAAAAAATTCAAAATTTGGTAAGTTCTCAATATGGGTATGACATGTTTGTCGAAATACTCATGCTTCATAGTCTCAAGATAATTCTAAATGAAAATTTATATATATATATATATATATTTTGCAAAATTTTCATTATTGAGATAAAAAATTATTTATTAAATATTTAAATTTAATTTTTTTTAATATTTAGAGGATAAATTGATTTTTAAGATATAGTTTGATGGTGAAATAAAATTCCAAATAACTTTGGTATTATGTCAGCATATTTCGTCTAATTATAAACGGACTGTAACGATAAAACTCAAATTAATCAAAATTTTAAAAATTTGAATATAAAATTAATATTAATTAAAGTCTAAGGATTAAATTAAAAAATGCGTCAAAATTTGAAAGCAAAATCATATTTCTCAATCTCATACTTTATAAGCCTTCTCCGAAAGAGATGGTAATGCTCGTCAAGTCTATATAAACCCTTCCCTCCCTTCACACTTCCCTAAAACTCAACACCACAACCCCCCCGCCCTTCTCTCTCTCTCTCTCTCTCTCTCTCCCTCTCTCTCTCCATGGCTTCTCTTCATAACTTCAACTCAGCATCCACACACACTAACCTGGAAAAGAGCTCACTAGAGGTAGAACCTAATTCAATAATGCCAAGATGTAGAGATGTACATGCAGTTACAATTGAGTGTGGGTTGAACAATGATGGTGATGCTGGGATTTCCTTGACATGGGAGGATCTCTGGGTGACAGTTCCAGATGGGAAGGGTAGCAGCAGACCAATCATTCAAGGCCTCACTGGCTATGCAAGGCCTGGTCAGCTCTTGGCCATTATGGGCCCTTCTGGCTGTGGCAAGTCTACTCTCCTTGATACCTTAGCAGGTACTCATTTTCTCAAATTTGTTTATTTTATTTTATTTTATTATTCATTTTTAACTTTTTTATGACGAGGAACATTATTGAGGCAGGATCTTTTGGACTCATCATCATCCATATCCATACGAGTAAACCCTGAACATATGCAACAAACTGCGAGTTACACGTACCGGTTTAAGTGCTAAAGATACATGCAAGAATTGAATTTAAGACGTCTGAGTTTACGACTTATTCCAAAGTTTTCATAATTACATATTAAATTGTTAGTCTTGAAATTATATAAAAATTTAAGTTATTTGAAAGAGATAACTTTATGGTACACTATAGTTTTCACTCTTCAACTTTTACCCAATTCTCCTTTTAGTCTCTCATTTGCAACAATTAAGTTGTCAGATTTCAACTAGTGTTTTAATGTGATTTTTCTGTTATTTGCCGTTAAAAATTTGAACAGAAAGAGAAAATTTATACTTAAGCAAATTTATATTTAAGATGTTATAGCTAAATATTAAGCTTTTGTACTAACTAAACAACAAAATTATTCACTTTTAATTTTAAAATATTCACTTTTTTATATTTCTTTGCTTAGACCCGGGTGGATATTTGTCCACCGCTGAGTGAAATATAGACATGTTTTATTCACATTTCACCTACCTTTTCTATTTCTCTTTCCAAATCCCTCCTCAAATCCCTCAACCAAACACAACATTAGTCTCTCATTTGCAATAATTAAGTTGTCAGATTTCAACTAGTGTTTTAATGTGATTTTTTTGTTATTTGCCGTTAAAAATTTGAACAGAAAGAGAAAATTTATACTTAAGCAAATTTATATTTAAGATGTTATAGTTAAATATTAAGCTTTTGTACTAACTAAACTACAAAATTATTCACTTTTAATTTTAAAATATTCACTTTTTTATATTTCTTTGCTTAGACCCGGGTGGATATTTGTCCACCGCTGAGAACTTAGGTGAAACATGGTTTCAGCGAAGGCTGTCCAGACAAAAGTTTGTCATCTAATATGGAACTCTTCATGCCCCATTGACACCAGACAAACAATATTAGTTGTCCAGACAGACCAATGGTTGCCACACAATGAATATCTCACAAAAACAAGTTTCTCAAATAGTTATTTCACAGATTTTTTTTTATCTAATTTATTTACATCTCTGATAATGACCTATTTGTTCAAGGAACAAATTAACAGAAAAAATTGACAATGAAGCAACAATCATATGATCTATGAGTAGAAAATTAATTCCAGTTTACCAATGACTTATTGTCGATGATCCTATAATTTCCACACAAAATAATGGATAATTAACTTAAATTCAAATTGCAGGGAGATTAGGAGCCAACACAAGACAGGCTGGTGACATATTAATTAACGGTCACAAACAGAAGTTGGCTTATGGAACATCGGTAAGGGGAAAATAAAAAAAAAATATTTTCTTGATCGATTTGCAAACTCCCATAGTGAAGTTTCACTACTTTAGCATAATCTTTTGTTTTGTTTTGTTTTGTTTGATTGAATTAGGCTTATGTGACTCAAGATGACACCTTGCTTACAACATTAACCGTTAGAGAAGCCGTGTACTACTCTGCTCAACTCCAACTACCAAACTCCATGTCCAAATCCGAAAAAAAAGAGAGAGCAGACATGACAATAAGAGAGATGGGCTTACAAGACTCCGAGAACACAAGAATTGGTGGGTGGGGAGCTAAAGGCCTAAGTGGAGGGCAAAAGAGGAGGGTAAGCATTTGCATAGAGATTCTAAAGCGCCCAAAACTTCTCTTCCTTGATGAACCAACAAGCGGGTTGGATAGCGCCGCATCATACTATGTCATGAGTAGAATCGCACGCCTTGATCAACGACAAGGAAGGACTATAATTGCTTCGATTCATCAACCAAGTAGTGAAGTCTTCGAGCTATTCCACAATCTTTGTCTTCTGTCTTCGGGTAGAACTGTATACTTTGGCCCCACTAGTGCTGCAAACGAGGTAAGCAAAATCAAATTCCTCAAAAGTGAATGTGGAAATTAATGTATTTGTCATATGAGATCCCCCGTCCCAAACAACGTTTTTTTGTTTTTACAAACTCTTTGGACTTGATCATGTGATAAAGAGGTAGTTTGAGACAGCAAGACATCATAGATGGGGACAGAGGATTCGGACTTCGTACTTGTTTAATTTTTTATTAGTAACTAATTAGTACTTTCATTTTTAATTCAATGTAGTTTTTTACATCAAATGGATTCCCATGCCCAACTCTTCAGAATCCATCTGACCACTTCCTTAAAACAATAAACAAGGATTTTGATGAGGTAATATTGTTGGTATTTTTCATTTAATTGGCTTCAATAGTGATTTTGAACTTCCTATATTTTCTTGTATGTAATTTATGTAATACTTGGATAATACTGTATTTTAACAGGACATAGAAGAAGGTTCTACAGGAAAGAAATCAACAGAGGAAGTGATCAGTATTCTTGTAAAGTCATATAAATCATCTGATGGTTACCAACAAGTTCAAAGACAAGTTTCTGAAATATGTAAACGTGTAAGCAAATACTACTCATTTTCTAATATTTACGTTTACAATTTTCTATTTATATGTACAAAATTTAAAATCTGTAAACAAAAACCCATATCTGTTTTCATTTTCAATATTTTTTTTAAATAATTTGCAAAATTTACTAAATTCTTGTAACAAATTTTTTTGGTTTTTTCTTATTTTGAAATATAAATTTTCATTCCATCCTCTCTCTCCAACCCCTTCTGTCCACTACCCTCTACTCGGCCACTGTTGGCCCTAGGCTAAGGCCACTAAGGTCTATGCCTAAGGCCCTCCAAACTTTGGTCTAAAATAAGATCCTAAATTTATTAGTTTTATATTATATTAAAAGTTTAAAATTCAAATTTTTTTATTGTTTGAGGCCCAATCCAAAAGGCCCTTTAAAAAAATCTGTTGGGCCAAATTAAAAATATATATATATATATATATCATCATTGTTAGGCTTAATTAAAAATTTATATAATTAGTCCAAACAAATATATATGATAGAATGAGTCCAAATAGAGTTTTATTTTTTTTTTGAACGGAGTCCAAATAGAGTTTAATGTCAAGATTTTAATAGAATAAATAACTTTATTTTAATTTTTTTACCCTCTCTCTTTATCATATTTTAATTGAATAATTTTATCCTAATTTATTTTCCTTAATTTTGTTTGCCCTAATTTTTTGCCCCTCTCTCTCTATCATAATTGAATTGAATAATTTTGCCTTAGTTTTTTCTCTGAATTTTTTCCCTATAATTTGTGTTTTGTTATCAAATAATTAATGGATTGTGATTTGTGTGGATTATGATCGTATTATCAGATATCATAGTACAATGATATAATCATTTCATTATCAAACATCAGCGAATTATGTTGTTTGTATCGATTATTGCTAAATTATATAACAAGAAGACCCTATTTTATGTTTTTTGAGTCTTTGTAATGATTTTTTCGTATCTTAAGGTATGAAAATAAATTTTAATGATTATATGTGTACGGAAACTTTTTATAGCTACTAAATAATTAAAAAATTATTGGTAACTTATTATTTTATCGGTAATTATTTTTATAAAAAATATATATGTAGACCCTATTTTCAAGATCCCGCTTAAGGCCTCATAAATCTCAAGACCGACCTTGCGCTCAGCGCCACCACCAAACCCTCGTTGGACCTTTGATCACTGATGCCAATGAACTCCTTGGGTAACCACCTCCAACCGCCGCAAAAAGTGATTAGCTTGGGCTATCAACAATCACCTTTGGTCATTGACAATCACTTACAACCACCACCACCCACCTCCAGCCTGCTCCTCTCTCTTGTTTTCAAAAGTATTTGAAGTATCAAACATGTTTTTTGTGTTGATTTTTATTATAAAATAAAACACAAATACATTTAAAACTTTCTACAAATTAAACAAATAATCTGTAAACGTTATGAAACGGTACTTACTATATACATAATATCCTATCAAGCATATTCATCTATATTTTTAAAATTTGGAATTCATATTATTTCTATTGTAAGTTCCACCCATTTTTTCATAATTACTAATGATAGTTTGTGGGCATTTCAGGAAGGAAGAGCACTTGAGAAGAGCAGAAGCCATGCTAGCTTCCTCACCCAATGCCTAGTTCTTACCAAAAGGTCTTTTGTGAACATGTATAGAGACCTTGGCTATTACTGGTTGCGGCTAGCTATCTATGTTGCATTGGCATTAGGTTTGGGCACTATCTACTATGACATTGGCTTCAGTTATAGTTCAATTCAGGTAAGAGATCAGAGAGACTTAATGCACAAATCTAAGATGCATCTTCTCAGATTTGTGACAAGAAAGCCAATATTGATCAATATGGGTTGATTGTTTCAGGCTAGAGGTGCAATGCTTGCATTTGTTGCTTCATTCTTGACTTTCATGACAATTGGTGGCTTCCCCTCATTTGTGGAGGATATGAAGGTATAAATTAAAGCATCACAATCTTTTCTCTTGGCAAAACTTTTTGCAGCTTTGAAAAGAAAAAAAAAATGTCAAACCAAGTTATTGAAACATTTAACTTCAACTTATTTTGGGCTTTTGAGTTGAAAAAGAAAATAAATTGAAAAACGTGAAGGCTGTATTTGGATAAGATGAAGGTGCGAGAAAAATAAAAATTGGAACTTTTTCTGTGTTTGTTTGATTTGAGAATGGTAGAAAATGCATGAAAAATAACCCATATCAGCATGTTAACTTGACCTTCAATTTTTTGTAAAAAATATAAATAAATAAATTATTTTCTCAAGAAAACAGGCTAAATATTATAAAGAAAAATTCAAAATTTTCATCTAATTAACCAAATGCATACTAGAAAATAAATTTTCTTTCATTTTACTACTTATAATTTCTTTCATATTTTTTATGCTAATCAAACGTATCTGAAATCTTACTAAACAGTCTAATTTTTTGAAATACAGTTGCTTAAGTTTGGAATTTCAAATTTTAAACTTAATAGGCTGCAAATAAATTTTGCCCAATAAACTCTTAGTTCTGTTTAAATGAATGGCTTCGAATGCATTGAATGTCATACATGCCACGGTACATACCACGACCTTACTATGGTTCCTTGCAAATTGTCTCCTAAAACTATCCAGGTATTTGAACGGGAAAGGCTGAATGGGCACTATGGTCCTAGTGCATTTGTCATTGGCAACACACTCTCAAGCCTTCCCTATTCATTTCTCATTTCACTGATTCCTGGGGCAATTGCATATTACCTCACTGGACTTCAAAAAGGATGTGAACATTTCATATACTTTGCTGCAATGCTCTTCACTTGCATGATGTTGGTAGAGAGCCTAATGATGATCGTTGCAAGCATTGTGCCAAATTTCCTCATGGGTATAATAACCGGCGCAGGAATTCAAGGTTTGATGATTTTAGGCGGTGGATTCTTTCGACTGCCCGATGATTTACCCAAACCATTTTGGAGATACCCTTTGTTCTACATTGCATTTCACAGGTATGCATACCAAGGAATGTTTAAGAATGAGTTTGAAGGGCTAAGATTTGCTAGTAATCAAGTTGGAGGACACAAGACAATCAATGGTGAAGATGTTTTGAGAAATATGTGGGAAGTGGATATGGATTATTCTAAGTGGGTTGACCTAGCCATCTTGTTGTCAATGGTGGTTTTGTATAGGTTGATGTTCTTGGTGATTATAAAGACTGTTGAGAATGTTAAGCCTGCCATTAGGGCATTGATGTCTGCGAACCCTAAGCAAGCAGCACAAATCATGATGAATCCAAGTGACACTTCAATTCACATGTAGTGATTTAGGTCTCAAATCTTGTGTAGTCATTTGCCTATGTACTCATCAATGATATGTACTTTCATCGTTGTAGCATATCTATAAGGTGTTTTGGCAAGATGATTAAAAGTTGTTTTTTGACTTTTTTTTTTTTTAATTTTTTTTGTGAGAGAGGGAAGTGGGTTAAAAGTTAAAAAGTGGCTTTTAACCCAATTCTCAAAATAAGCCACGTCAAAGTTGCATGTCTAAATTTTCATTTTAAGTAGAGATCGTATCGAGCTTAAAGGCATAAAATCTTCTATTCCAAAATCTTCATGTTCTTTTGTCCTGATGAACTTTTAATCATTAGATTAAGTTTCGTAATTCACATGTCTTAAGATTTTCAAACATTTGTTAAAAGTTAAAAAATGAGTTTGTACCTTTAATAGATGTTTTCAATTTAAATCATAGAAAAAAGCATATATACACTTTTTCTTATATATATATATATATTTATTTTTTATTTTGATATGTAACTAAATATATGTATTAAAATTAATATTTTATAAACGATCTGGTAGAATTTCTCATCAACCTAATATAGTTTGAAAATCAAATAGGCTCTCTAAATTACAGTCCAAGTCAACTTTATAAATGGCTCGGGATTGGTTACCTGAGTGAGAGATCCTTATGATGACACGGAAAGGCAAACCAAAATCACATGCAATCACAAACCCAAAGTAGAAGTGTTGGGTGAGAAACCAACCAGAAAAACAGAAGTTGAATAGAACCAGAGAATACACAAGACAAAGACCACCAAAAATAAATAAATAAATAAAAAATTCAAGAACAGGGCAGCAAAAACTCATCTATCACACAATCCACTCTAGTCCCTAATTGGCTGTATACAAGTGTAGATGTTAAATTCTGACATTTATACATAGGATCAACAACTTTTGGATTTGAATTTCACCCGGTACACAACTCTTACTTTTATTAGCTCTGTCATTCGTTTTTACTCTTATTAAACTGAAAATGCAAATAATTTCTAGCAATCCAGATAGACCAAAACACAGTCGAAGTTAGAGCTTTTGTTGAATTTAATGAATCAAAACAAGCTTTTGCAAAAAGCATGGAGATACCCACAGCAAACCCAACCAGTTAATGCAAGCACACCCAATTTCCAAAAATTCCTTACTTGCATAACAAGTGATCAAATGTCTCGACTTCAGAATTGTAAAATTTGTAGAGAGCAAAGGAGTTAAAATGGCTGTTTTAACTCTACCTTTCCAGACCAACCAAGTAAAAAATTGAGCTCGTTTAGGCCACCAATTTTGAAAGGCCCCATGCTTAAATTCTCTCTGTTCAATATTTAAAAAATAACGTTCATTTAAAATTTTGGGAAAAAATTCGTTGTGTTGAGATTAAAAAAAAAAAAAAAAAAAAGTTTCATTGTCAAATGTCCCCGATCCTAAACACTGAAAACACATATTTTATTCGAAGGCTCATAATAAACCTATGTGTTCAAGAGCCCACAAAACAAATTGTTTATAGGCCCAAATTGTAAAGGCTTGAAAAAAAATAAAAAAATAGTTTTCCAATGGCATTTTCGTCGAATCTTTTATTTAACATATGAAATAATCCTCTAAATACATGAATTAACACATGAATCCTATGTTGAGATGATTAATTCATGTGTTAATAGAACTTAACGTAAATTTTTATTCGAAAAATAAGGCACATTTAATATTTTTCATAAAAAAAAAAAGTTATCTAAAAGTCAAGAAAAAAATCTCCTCATACAAAAAGATATATATAAATAAATAAGTAAAATAAATAAATAAATACATAAAACAATAATGCTAGATAGAGAGAAAAAATAAATAAATAAGAAGAAGCACACGTGTTGGTACACAAGCTTATGATTAGTTCAATACAAAAATGAGCGTATTTGTTTAGTGGCTGGCATTTTTCAACTTAAAATTCTATTTTGAAAAGTTAGTTGAATGTCACTTTTTAATTTTTAATTTATTTCTTTTCCTATAAAAAAAATTAAAAAAAATTAACTTTTAATTACCTCCCAAAACACTTTAAATTTGCTCTCCTTTGTAGACTATTGGCCCTTTTCATTCTTTTGTTTTTTTTGAAACATGTGATTCTTATCTTCTTTCATTTAGGGATTGTTTGGAATATTTTAAATAAGTATATTTTTTATTTTTTTGGACTAAAAAATTGAGAGAAAAAATATAGATGCTTGAGATAACTTTTTGACTTTTTATGAAAAAATGTGTATTAAAAAATTATATAAATTAATGTGTAGAGAAAAATTAAAATTGGGAGTTGTGCAGCCGTAATTTTTTACTTTTGGTAAATAATGTTAACTTTTTGAATAACTTTTTGACTTTTTAACTTTTGATGAACTTGCCAAACTTGGCTTTAGTATATTCAAGTGGTGTTTGGTTTTTAGTTTAGTATACTCAAGTGGTGTTTGGTTTTCCTTTTGGGCTAAATAACACTACAAGAAAAATCATTTTTGGCGACTAAATTTTTAGTCGCCAAAAATCCGCTTTTAGTCGCCGAAAGTCGAGTTTTTACTTTCAGCGACTAATTTTTTTAGTCGCCCCTTTTGTCGCGCATACGTGGTCGCGAGAGGTATCGGCGACTAAACTTTTTTTAGTCGGCAAAAAAGAGCTCTTTAGCGACCAACTGTTTAGTCGCCATTGGTGCATTACACTTTTTAAAAACACACATTTAGCGACTAATATTTTAGTCGCCAATAGTCCATGAATCGCCGACTAAACTATTTTGTCGCCCAAAATAACACTTTTTGCGACTAAAAGTTTAGAACTCTAACCTAGCATAGTGATTGTGGTTTTGAGATAGCTTCATATATATATATATATATATATATACAGTCACAAAATGGTTTGAATAAATTCAACGGTATTTTTCTATCGCAAAAAAAATTAAAAAAAATAATGTTGTCTTACTCTTTTGATATACCATTTCTCTTTTCATTCATTTTTTCATCTTCCCGTCTCTCTGTCTCTATATCTCTCTCTCTTCTCTTTATCTCTTTCACTTATCACTCTTCTTTCTATGTCTGCCTGTTTCTCTCTCTCATTCTCTCTGTGTCTCTCGCCTATCTCTCTTCTCTCTATCTCTCTATCTCTCTCATTTCTTTTTTCTCTCTCTCTCTTATCTTTCTATCTCTCTCGCTCATTTCTCTTCTCTTTCTGTCTCTCTCTTTATTTTTCTATTCTCTCTCTCGTTCATCTCTTTTCGCTCTATTTCTCTTTCTTTTTGTCTATCTCTCGCTTATCTATTGTTTCTCTCTCTTTTTCTATCTCTCCATCTCTCTCTCTCTCTATCTCTTTTTCTGTCTATCTCCCTCTTCCTGTCTCTTTCCCACTCATCACTCTTCTCTCACTCTCTCTCTGTCTACTTGTCTATTTGTCTATTTCTCCCTCACTATGTTCACCTTGTTCACTCTCTTACTCCCATCTTCTCTATTTATCGAGCTCCTTCTCGATTTATCGATCCACTATAAGAAAATACACTTTTAGCAACCACTTTGTCTATCTCTCTCTCTCTCGCTCATCACTCTATCCCTGTCTCTCTCTCTCTCTATCTCTCTTCTTTATCTGTCTCTCACAAAATTAAAATATTTTTAAAATATTTAAAAAATTAATTTGAATTAAGTTTTGAAAAGAGTTTTGAATTATCTGTCTTCTTTATTTATTGAGCTCCCTTTCGATTTATCGATCCACTACAAGAAAATGCATTTTTAGCGACCACTTTGTCTCTTTCTCGCTTATCATTCTGTCTCTTTCTCTGTCTCTCTATCTCTTTTCTCTATTCGTCTCTCACTCATCTCTCTTTCTCACCACCCATCTTCTCTACCACATTTACCACTACTGCAAATGCCATTTAACTACCACCACTCTTCTCTTTCTCTCTTTCACTCATCACTCTTCTTTCTCTGTCTGTTTGTCTATCTGTCTGTTTGTCTGTCTGTCTGTGTGTCTTTCGTTCATCTTTCTTCTTTTTATCTCTCTCATTTGTCTTCTCTCTATGTCTCTCTCACTCATTTCTCTTCTCTCTATCTCTCTCATCTCTTTTCTCTCTTTGTTTCTCTCGCTCATCTCTTTTTTCTCTCTCTGTTTCTCTCGCTCATCTCTCTTCTCTCTATCTCTCTATTTTTCTATTCTCTCTCTCGTTCATCTCTTTTCGCTTTCTTTCTATATGTCTCTTTCATCTCTTGTTTCTCTCTATTTTTCTATATGTCTCTCTCTATCGCTTTCTCTCTTTGTCTCTCTATCTCTCTATATCTCTTTATCTCTTTATCTCTCTCTCACTTATCACTTTTCTCTCTTTCTTTCTCTCTCTGTGTCTGTTTGTTTGTCTCTCACTCTTTTGTTTCTCTCTCTTTCTCTTTATGTGTCTGTCTGTCTGTTTGTCTATCTCCCCCATTGTGTTCATATTACTCACTCTCTCCCTCATCGCTTCTCTATTTACTAAGCTCTCCACTACAAGAAAATGCACTTTTAGCGACAAATTGTGTTCACATTACTCACTCTCTCCATCATCGCTTCTCTATTTACTAAGCTCTCCACTACAAGAAAATGCACTTTTAGCGACAAATTGTGTTCACATTACTCACTCTCTCCATCATCGCTTCTCTATTTACTAAGCTCTCCACTACAAGAAAATGCACTTTTAGCGACAAATTGTGTTCACATTACTCACTCTCTCCATCATCGCTTCTCTATTTACTAAGCTCTCCACTACAAGAAAATGCACTTTTAGCGACAAATTGTGTTCACATTACTCACTCTCTCCATCATCGCTTCTCTATTTACTAAGCTCTCCACTACAAGAAAATGCACTTTTAGCGACAAATTGTGTTCACATTACTCACTCTCTCCATCATCGCTTCTCTATTTACTAAGCTCTCCACTACAAGAAAATGCACTTTTAGCGACAAATTGTGTTCACATTACTCACTCTCTCCATCATCGCTTCTCTATTTACTAAAAAAATTCATTAACTAGAAAAAATATATATTTTAACAAAAAATAAAATTTTTTGACGATAGCAACCCCAGTCTCAAAAAAAAATAAAATAAAAAATTAGACGGCGTTATTTTGTTATTTAAATTT